TTACATTTTGTTAAAACTAACAAAACATCACTGACATGACATAACTAGGCCCTGATTGGCTTTGATGTTTACTATTATTATTTTTCGACGTTTGAAAAGTTGGTTGAACTATGTACCTCTCTCGAGATGCAGGTAGCGTTTTTACATCCCTTGTGAACGTAATTTCAAAAATGTGGTAATTGTCAATTTTCGTTTGTCGAGCATTGCATAACCCCATTTTTTTACAGACCTTGGTCTGTAATGATCAACTTCACTACCTCTGAACAAGTCTATAGTTGGATGTCACGTCTCTCAGCTACTAGTGAAAAAAAATATTTTGCTAGCTTATATTTGCGCCTGGTACCAGAAAATCTAATTAATTCATTAAAAACTAAAGACTACTATAGAAAAAAGTGGTTATCATCAAATGTAGTCTCATTCTTCGAAGAATATAAAAAGATTTCGCTCTCTTTGTAAACGACAAATATCGCTTTCTTATCGAGAATATATAATGAAGGTTGAAAACTCAGTTCGTAATAACCCTGTGAAAATTTTAAATATCTTCAGCTAAAGAAGTACTACAAGAATACCCGGCAAAATGTATCAAGATGACGTATCGTTTGAAACTTCTGAAGAAATAGTAAATGGCTTTGCACAAGTGTTCTCAAGTATACACCCTGCTTCAAATGTGACTCCCAATGACAATTGCAACCCTCCATCTTTTAAACTTATGTGTGTGTCTGATCAGGAAGTCGTGAAAATTATGGCATCTTTTCCTATTAAACGCACGGTAAACGGTTTAAATCTGGCTGTATATATCGTCACCTGAAATTTCATTCTTTTTTATTTTATTGATTTTATTTATCTAAGTATTTTAATCAAAGTTAACATCGGTAATTGCACATTCTTATTCGTAAAATCAATTAATTCAATATGAGCTGTTGTATTAAATCCAAAAATTTGGTCGCCAACCAAATTAGTTGTAACAAATGCGGAAATGTTTTTCATCCAAGCTGTCTAAGACAGTTTAAAGGATTTTTAGGAATCGCTGATGACATAACTTCTCTTAATAGTTGTCCTCAGTGCAACAAAGGAGGTAAAATAAATACTGCAACCATTGGTACTTCCTTATCCTCTACGGAATTAATTAATCTTCAACGGTAATTCAGTGATTTAAAAGACTCAATAGTTAATACGATGGATCATATGGTGAAAACAGTCAAGAATAACTTGGTTAAATTATTTGATGATTTGCGTGTTGACATGAAATCTATAATCTTCGAATCGATTAAAACAGAATTTAATAATTAGAAATCTGAAATTAGTAATTATCTGCGTACTGATATAAAATCCTGTTTATCTGAGTCGTTTATGACTGCTGACATAAAATCACTTATTAGTTCTTCTCTTCAGACTCAGTTTGCTAAATTGAAATCTACATTTAGTATCGTTTGCAAAGAAAATTTCGTACAAAACCCAAAGGTCAATTCCGTGGAAAAAAATTTACTTAATTTACTTCATGACATGTGTCGTAACTTAAAATCCTGTATACTCATTAAAGTCAGAATTTGATGATCTGAAACCGGCAGTTTGCGAACTTAGTGAGAAAATCCTAAATAATTCAAAGTTAACAACTCAGCCTAGTCCACCTCTAGTAACAAATATTCCTAAGACCCCGAAGTCTATGAACATCAAAAAGAAAGTTGTCTTATTATCTGACGAAAAAGGGCATAATTAATTAAGTTAATGTAGTTTTAGTATATGTAAGTATAAACGGTTTTTAATAGTTGCGTAATGCTCAAATTCATGTGCACTTAATGCAAGACTGCCGTATCTCAAAAATAAGTGAAATGCAAGTAGGCTATGATCCTATGAGATTTCAGTCGATGTTGATAATCTGATACTCCTACTAAATTAGGTACAAATTGAACACAACAAATGCACAATGTCTTCTGATATAGCTAAGAATTGACCGAAAACATGGAAATCAATTTTTCTTTGAATAGGAAAAGTAGGAAAGTTAATTAGAGCGAAATAAAAAATTTAAAATTTGTCAAAAATTCCGGTGGAATTTTGTAACTCAGTATATCAGGAAATAATAATCAATCAATTCCCTAACATCACGACAACGGCGGCATCAGACTTAAATGAAAATTATTAAACAATATTTTTGAAGGTCCTTTAGCAATACGTAACAAAATACGATGGACTGAATCAATTATGTATAAAAAACGATTTAAATAAAATTATAACACAATTTATAACAATTTAGCCATAGTAGATGTTGAATGAATCAATACTGTGATCGTTTTGTGTTTTGTTATATTTTTTTCATTACAATGTGTTGCTAGTTTGCTCTTGTCTTAAATTTATTAACACGCAAGCCAAAATATTTGATATGGTGTACCAGTGCAATAGTCACGTAAGTCCAAATTTCTTGTTTTCTATAACGAGTAGAAGGTTCTACTCTAAAGGAATAAAAACACGATTAATAATAGATTGACAATACGACTATAATGTATTCGAAGCCTTTGGTATTTAAGACACAAATAATATATAAACATTTTAAATCATCATTATTCAAAATATGCTGTCTTTGAGTTACGTGAGTATTGCTCTCACAGTGCGATTTCGTCACTTACAAAAAGCGACTACCTAATTATTTTTGGTGGCAATCATGACGTTAAATCCGGCATATTACTCGCGATGAGTACGTTCACTGATATATTAAAGAATACGAATACCGTTTTTATAGGATGTCCCTATTTTCTGAAACGTCCGATTTTAAATAGTTGGGTCTCTCAACTAAATGACACTCTGCGTAGACTAGGTAAATCTAATAATAACATATTTTATTTGGACTCGAACAATATTTTAGAAAAACAATTTAAAACTATCAATTTTACGTTCAAAGAGGCTTCTAAAAGATCGATAATGAAGCATGTGGCTGATGGTATTTTGATCAAAGAAACGACTATTTTGACTAACGGGACTTCTTCTACATCCTCTCGATCAGTTAATCCTTTTTTATAAAATATGATTATGATTTCAATGATTTTTCGGACCGACGACCTAAGGTAACATGCATGTACCAAAACGTTAGGGGTTTACACTCTAAATTTACATCATTCTATAATAATATCCTAGCGCTTTCTGAAAACTTTGATATTTTTGTTTTTTGACCGAGACATGGCTGCACAACGATGTATCAAACGCAGAATTGTTTCCTGATGATTTTGCAGTTTACCGTTGTGATAGAAACTTTGAACGTTTAGGAAACACCAGAGGTGGTGGTGTCCTGATTGGTGTAAATAATATTAAACTGACTTCTACGAATATTGATGTCAGTAACATTGTTGAAACCGTTCCCTCTATTGACCTTATAGGCGTCAAGGTAAAAACATCCTATCATCAAAATCTCTTTATCTTTGCCGTTTACATTCTGCCTTGGACAACTTTTCAAGATTACGAAACATTTTTCGAATATGCTGGTATTATTGACGAAATGCATGACAGGACTGTTCTTTTTCTAGGAGACTTTAATACATCCACGTATTGCAGTAATCTTAATAATAACTACAGTCAATGTTTGAATCACTTTGTAAAACTTACCAACCCTACTCAATATAATAATGTAAGTAATTGTTTCGGTAATACTTTAGATCTTATATTCTCTTCTTCCTCTTGTCATGTTGAAAAGTCCGGCTTCCCTCTAGTCCAAGAAGACGCATTTCATCCCCCGTTAGAATTTAATATACATTGCAACATTAAAAAGGCTGATATCTTTTGTTTAAATTCAAACAATTATATCTATAATTTAAAAAAAGCGGACTATCCTGGTTTATATAACCCATTGTTACATATTAATTGGTCTGAGCTTGGAAAAATTAAAGATGTTAATTTAGCTTGTCAACACTTCTACACAACTTTATTTAGAACTTTTGATTTATACATACCAAAGACTGGACGTTTCAAAAGAAAATACCGTCATTATCCACCTTGGTTCGATAAGGATATTATAAGAAGTCTTCGATTAAAAACCAATATGCGTAAAACATTTCTGTCGAATCATAATCCTGAGACATATATTGAATTTAAGAGACTCAGAGCAGATCTTAAAAAGAAAATTTGCATAGTATACCCAAAATATATTAGGGATATTGAAAATGACATTATCACAGGCCCCAAGAAATTGTTACGAATTGAAAATTCGCAGTAGCTATTTCGGTTTTTATTGGCATTCTCGGATCGGATTACATTTTGTTTACTCGTTTTTTTTTGTTTCATCATTTCGTGCATGGGTGGTTGGGTTGGGCACGGTGGCAATGAAGGACAACTTTGGTGGAGGGTTCGTCCCGAGCTTTTGACTCCCCCAGTCGCAAGACTGTCGCGATGATTCTGAGCTTGGAGGGGCTCAGATGAGTGTTTCAGCCTCGCTGTTTGTAGATCGGTCTTCTGGATCGTTTCAGCTTGGTTCTTGCTATAAGGAACTGGATGGATCGCGCCATCCCAGAGCTTCACTCTGAAATTCGATTTTCGTTCTGTTTGTTATTTTTGTTCGCGAATTTCATTTGCTTACCTAGGTGGGAACAAACGCCGTGGAGCGTCCCCTAGAGTCTTCGTCATTTCTGGAATCTTGATAGCCTTGTTTGTTTTTTTCTCTTTTGTAATAACCATCGCATCCACTTAATAGTTACATCGATTAGGGATTTTCGTCGGAATTCAACGTTTCGTAAGTTTGCCACTAGAGGGCCAAACTTCCGTTAATTCTCGCTTCGTTACCTTGCCACGTCATCGCAGGTGGAAGGGAATCCATTTTGCTTTGGTACTTCGTGTTGAATGGTGTTGGGGGTTAGTGCTTTCCTCTTTTGCAGTTCGTTTTAGCAACCTTTTATTTGGTGTTACGTTTGGAATCGCATTCGTTGGATCTGTTGGGTCCCCTAAAAGGTGCTATCGCTTGGAGCGCATTTGTGAGCTGTAAAAGATATAGTGCATTCGAGCACTACGACTTTGTCGGATTTTGGGTTAAGGGCACTAGACCATCCCGCTAACATCGGAGAAGCTGCAGTCGATCCGCAGGTAAATCTTTTGATTAGCTTTTCCCTGGCATCCCTTCGAACAGTGGTTATGGTTATTTTCATGTTAACGATAATATTTTGCTACTTACCAAGTGCATGTGACATGTGGAACCCTTGGGGTTGACTGAGTTCGAACATCTTCTCAGACTTTGCTCTCCTTGCAGCTTTTTTTGTTTTGTCGCTGATCTTGCTATTCCCGTGATCGAAAATTGGAGCCAGTTTCGAGTGGGAGAACGAATTCTATGAATTCCAACTGTCGTGGGCAGTTGTGAGCCCTCCCAGAACAGCTGGAGAATCACCAAAAACCTCGACTCGACATCGACTGGAACTTCGCTGCGACGCCGCTGTGTTTCGACATCTCGTCGTGGATATCGAAGGAGGCAGGTGCCCATGGTACTTCCATTCCATCGCATTAAGATTAAGTATTAGTCGCCTTACCTTTTCTTTATTGTATCGCAACACGTTTCGAAGTTCGGCGTAACTAGCACTCGCACATAACCTAGTAATAACAATCGGTAAGAGTGTGACGCTTCGCTCTACGTTAATACCTTCGTACGTACGTTAGGACTACCGAGCGTGTGGCCTACTTCGTTTATCTCATAGCCCTCGAAATAATTAATCAAATCGTTATTCGTTACGACCCCAACTAACTTGTTCGTTTCGTAAACATCGTTCGTATCGCTCGTATTTATCGTTAATTAGTTCATCGCCTTTCGTAATTAAACTATCGTTCGTATTGCTCGTATTCATCGTAAACCGTTAGTCGCATTAAATCGTTATCATTAATATCTTACTCATTTCCTTTTGCTTACTTATTTAGTTATTTATCACTCTTATTTTATTTTTAATTAGTGACCTTAGGTTTTCTTGTAACCAATAATTTAAGTAACAGCTTGCAATTACAATAGTTAAATATTTTTCCGGTTTTTTGTTGTTGTAATTGTGTCTTAATAAAAACTGGTGGCGCCCTGGCGACGTCGCTACACAAAACAGTGTGCTCTCTCTTCTTTGCGAACCTCTAGCGACCTGACCTTTGCACCCGCAGGAACTCACCCCTTCTCCACTAGCAGGCCGGCAACGAGCTGTGAGTTTGGCTCGTAACAAAATTCTGGTCGTTCATTCATTCCAAACAAGGTAAGACGCATATACCTGGAGTACTAACACACGATGGAAAAACCATTTCTAATCCGACGGATATAGTTAACAGCTTTGCTGCTTTTTTCAAAAGTGTTTACACTTCTTCCCGGCCTATTAGTGCTAACATGCTTTCAGAAACATTTCCCAATAATTTGACCATCAGTCTGTCTTCTATAACTGAAGATGAAATTATACGGGCTATGAAAGCGGCAAAAAATACAATAACCTCCGGTTCTGATGATATCCCGAGTTTTTTTCTAAGACATACTGCTTATGTTTTATCATATCCGCTGAGTCATATCTTCAATCTAATCCTTCAAACGTCGACTTTCTCCGAGCTTTGGAAATTACCACAAATTACTCCTATTCACAAAAAAGGTGATATTTCTCAAATAATCAATTATAGACCAATATCTATATCGTGCAATTTTTCAAAAGTGTACAAATTCTATACTCACATTTACAACTCGGTACGTAATTTAATTTCACCTGACCAACATGGTTTCATGAAAGCGCGTTCCACTGCCACGAATTTAGCCACTTTTACGCAATTTACATCGGAAGCAATAGATAGAAATAGTCAGGTAGATGCCATCTATACAGATCTGCAAAAATCATTCGATCAAATTGACCATAACACCTTATTTCATAAATTAGATCGTATTGGCTTCTCAACCCCGTTATTGGCCTTAATGAAGTCTTATCTCTTTAATCCAAGACAACAACTTGTACATGGCGGGCATTTTTCTGAAGTGCACATCTCAATATCGGGAGTCCCGCAAGGCTCAAATCTCGGCCCCCTGCTATTCTTAATATTCATTAATGATGTGACGGATGCACTAGTATCTTGTAATAAATCGTTGTTTGCGGACGACTTAAAATTATTCCTGGAAATGCACTCTTCAGCTGATTGCGAAAAGTTACAAAGATACCTATATGCTTTCATAACTTGGTGTGTCAGGAACCGGCTTCAACTAAACATATCTAAATGTTTCGTTGTGATGTTCTCTCGAAAGTTTATCAAAACAGAATTTTCTTACAGAATAGGAACCGCCATTCTACAGCTTAATGAGACTGTAGGGGACCTGGGAGTATTATTTGACGATAAGTTCACATTTGTATTGCATATAACAGAGATTGTTAAAAAGGCATACTCAATGTATGGTCTGATTATTCGAAACTGTAAAGATTTTCAAGATATACAAACGCTAAATGTTTTGTATTTTGCATTAGTGCGTAGTAGATTAGAGTATTGTGCTATTGTATGGTCGACAATATATGAGGTTCATGCTAATCGGTTAGAATCGGTCAAAGGCGATTTTTAAAATTTTTGTGTTTTGTTAAAGACGGAAACTATCCGGTTAGAGGATATGACCATTTAACATTGCTAGGGAGATTTAATTATACTTCACTCGCAATAAGGCGTAAATATTAAGTATAGTTTTTATGTACAAATTATTGAACAACGGAATAGACTGCATGTGGCTGTTGAATAATAGATATTTATTTTATTAGGAGTTTAAGTGATACTTTATGTGACGGAGTATGGACGATTAAACGCCGAGCAATAGCGAGGCGAATTAAGTCCATACGAGTCACATAAAGTCACTTAAACTCCGAATGAAATACAATATTTTATTTTCAAACGATTAATCTTCTTTTGAAATTATTTCCCATCTTCTTGCTTCATTAAGGAATTGCCTTGATTTCACTTACCATGGTTACTATGGTTGACAACCACTATGATTTTCACATATTTATACGCCGGCGGAGTATAAGTAGTACTTATGCGCCGCTCAAACACGGTGTCATAGAAATGACACTTAAACCCCGGTAAGACCGTCATATAAGTGTCAGTTATATGACGTTTGAAAATAAAATTAATTTTATAGTACCCCGATTAAATGTGCGACATTTGACAACCATCTATTCAGCTACATGTAGGACTAATACTCTCCGTAAATCCCCTATATTCATCACGTCCCATATTATTAATAATATATCATCAATACATACATTTTGACAGTCTGCGAACCACCAAAAAAAGTATCAATTTGTTGGATCGTTAGACTATTCATTACATAACCGTTCGTTTTCGTCGTTTTTTTATATTGTATTGCTGTTGTTTTATATGTTCTTTTATATGTTATTTTGTATTTTCTATAATTGGGTTATGTACCTGTAGAAAATAAATTATTATTGTTATTATTAATAATATTATTAAACATACCATCGGATGTGTCTTGTATCGATCTGGAGGTGTTTCTTGAGGTACTGGGTGCTTTGATTTTGGATAAACCGGTTATAATTATTGCAGATTTTAACTTGTCACAATACAGTACCAACTATGTAGTAGGTACGTAACGTATTCTGCAGTAAATTAATCAGTTTTCTCGATTTTTCTCAAACAGTAAATCTTTCTCAGTATAACAATATCTTAAACTTCAACAATCGTTTGCTCGACTTAGTTCTCTCCAATGCTGAGTTCAAAATCAGTGTTAATCTTGACCAACAACCATTTGTTCCACTAGATCCCCATCATCCTGCTCTGCATATTCGACGTTATAATTTTCGGAAAGCTAATTGCAATAAGTTATACAATGACCTTCTTCATACCGATTGGTCCTTAGAAATTTTGAAGATGTCAACGTTGCACTTGATCACTTTTATACCAAGTTGTACAGTAATACTTGAGTGGTTGGTACCAAAATTCCTAGCTAACAAATCATTCTACCCTACGTGGTACAACAGACGGATCATTTCGGTTTTGAAACTTAAAAATTTCTATCGGAAAAAATGGAAAAGAACATCTAATATGACTTTTTATAATGAATTTCAAAGGCTTAGATCCACTTCCAAACAAATGATAAAGACAGCATATCGTGAGCATTTAAACCAAATTGAGGAATCTATGAAAAATAATCCTAAAGACTTCTGGAAATATGTTCACTTACAACGAGATACCACGAGGTACGACGCGTATTCCTGGAAGACTAGTTTATGAAGATAAACAACTTGAAGACCCACCAAAAATTGTCAATGCTTTTGCGGAAAGATTTTCTCTGTCTATCGTCCAAAAACAGGTATTGGATTATCTGATGTTACAACAAATAAGCTCTCATTAGCTATGCCGTCGGTGGCTGAAGAGCAACTAATTGATATTATGTCAACCTTCTCAAAGAAAATGACCATTGGTGATGACCAAATACCAAGTTTTTTAATACGTGACGCCAGATATATTCTAGCAAAGCCTCTATCAATTGTAATTAACTTAGCAATAAGGTCATCCACATTTCCTGATAGATGGAAAAGAGCAAGAATCACACCTGCATTCAAAAAAGGATATTCTACTAATCTAAAAAACTGCAGACTGTTTGCAATACTATCAAACTTTGCTAAATTTTCTGAAATAGTGTTGTATAAAAATATCTTTGTTAATGTCCAAAGTCATGTATCTGCATTCCAACATGGTCAATCAACAGTTGCTAATTTGTGTACTTTGACACAATTTCTCTCTGAAGAACTAGATAACAACGAATAAGTGGATTGTTACTGGGTTATATGTGCCACTAACATGTATTGATCGGTCTTCTTTGTGGGCATCACTGATGTTAACTTAGCATGTTCCTGTTTTTATAATAAATTAAACAGAATTTTAGATGTACTCTCTTTTAGTTCGTATGCACCTTGGTTCTACTATGACATTAGAAAGAAACCTAAATCCAGTTCCAAATTATGACGTTTGTCTAGAACCAATAGATTTGAGTATAAAAAGACTATTCGCTTTTTACTCATGTCTAATTTTTCAAAAAATTAAATTTTTCTTCATAACTTTTAATTTTTTCACATACGTAACTGCTTAAGTAATCCTCAACATGGATTTATTAACACTAGAACCGCCGCACCGGTCAATTTGACCGTTTTCCGATTTTAAAGTTTTTTTTTTAACGGAAATAATTTTTCTATGATCTTGCAATCTTCTGAGTTTTCCTAAATTATCTTTGGCAATGCTGTCACAAAATTTTGAACATTTTGAAAAATTCTGAGCGCTGTTTTGGAAATTTTTTCCTGAAACCGCCGGCTCGGTCAGATTGACCGGAACGTTAATATTATATTTTGATTAAATGTATATGTCATTTAGTTTATTTTCTGGGAGCAGTTGAATGAATTATACAGTTTGACTTGCACCAAATGTAAATAAATTTATATTTTCAACATTTCTAAAATAACAAAATGGCATATATCTGCATCAAACAATCAGAGCTTTTCCTCTTTG